GTGTGTGTGTGTTGAGAGTGTGTGATGTTGATGTGGTCCATGCCCTCTATCAGACTGGGCCACCATGTAACTGTGACCTGAGATCAATATGCAATCTAACCACCCCTGGGGCTGGGCGGCCTCCGATATACAGTACACACAGTGGCAGCCTATCGTCTGTCAACACATGCTCTCTACAGGACAAGACAAACACTTTATATAACTGCCCTCAGAGGTTGTTGGTTGGGACCAATGGTGGAGAGAGCTGAGGGTAACACCATGCACGACTTTATATGATGATGACTGCGGGCTGTTTCCAGTGGCCTACAAAGAGGAAATCTCTGATGTCCTCTCATGACATGTGGAGGTGTTCCCCCTGTACAGATGACTGTCTTATGCACAGACACGCAAACAAGTGGAGCAGCGTACTGTAAGACTTACATGTTGGTGTTAGCGGTGGAGGTAAGCCACTCTCCAGCCAGACCGATGATGTCCAGACCAGAGGACAACTGGTTGAAAAAGCGTGGGTGACCTGAACACAAAATAACATGCGGTCATAAAGGAAAAAATCATGATTGTTATAAAGAGAAAGCAATCAGGACATAGTGTTCTGCAACCTTGAGGACAAAAGCAGCTTTATGAAGTCATATAAAGACTATAAACTCCTACAGGATAATACAGACCCCTTCATTCTGATTGTGAAAATAACCTAATAAAATAAACAAAATACGAAGGTGTGCTTTCATTTTTTATTCCCTTGGCGGAATGTGAAACCTGAGGGATGTGACATAGCGAGCTCAGTGTACCATAATTACACTGGTAACAAGGCTGCATGACAGCCATTTACACTCAAAGGTGCCTGCACACACACAGGCCTGGAGCCTAAATGCACTCATGGATATATAAGCACCTTGCTAGTGTATAGTGCTGTGTGGCTCACATTATAAATGTGTGCTTTGTACGAAGTTGCTTTAAATAGCCTATATATTTCAAATAGGAAAAACTAATCTTATGCTGTGGGAAAGATATTTTCAGCACCAAGGACAGCTCTTCCTTCCAGAACTATAAAAATAAGAAAAAGAAAACAGCACGTCTCCATGTGAGAAGTGACTTGTAAGTGTGATGTATAAAACCCACGGGACAGTTTGAGCGCTGTCGTCTCTAACGGCTTGAAACAGGCCGTGTTAGGATCCCCTCAGGCGACACGTGCTTTAATAAGTAGAGGGGGAAAGAAAAGGAGGATGTCAAGTGAATCACCAGGGGGACAATGAATAATCCAGTCCTCTTAATAAGCTGTATACATTGTCTGGGAAACCGCTCTGTCCCTAAAGGTTCGTGATGAGCTCACCTGTGTACAGTTAGAATCAAGTCACATCAGAAGTGATACAATTGACATATTTAAATAGATCCACTGTTAATTATAATATTACTGGAGAGGTTAATATCATACAATTAATGTGAAGCAATTTTAAAGCTATAAAAGGCCTATTTTGTTATGTTTTATAGAGTAATGTGCCTGACTGAATCATGGTCAAAATAAGGCCACATTCCCAGCTCATTATCTGCTGATGCTGCCTTGACCCACCTGTCCGGACGCCATACTTGAGCGTGTCCCTGCAGTCCACCAGGATCTGCTCCAGAGACTCAGGCTGGTCGGAGAGTTCCAGGTTGAAGCCCTCCATGCCCTCCAGCAGCTGGTGAGGGTGGTGGAAGTCCAGCACCTTGGTGGAGCGGTCGAAGGTCTTCTTGACATAGTTGGTGAGGATGTCAACCACCTCCAACAAAAACTGTATGGTGGGCTCCTCTCCATTTTTGGCTGGCAGCAGGTCTGAGGATTAAAGGCAGAATTTCAAATACTGTAGCCATTAGAAAGCTGTGCCATTTAGTCAGTGTTTCAAGATTCCAATATTCAAAGATCTTTATTGTCATTATACTCCTAGTCTTAGACTAATAATATTTTACAAATATAAATAACTAAATAAAGTTTACAAATAAAAAAAACTGCAGATATGATGTCACTCAAATTCTTCGGGAGATGAGATGAGATAAAAAAGCACCAACACACAATCATTATTACTATCAAGACTATTATTGTTATTGTAATGAATATTATTATTAATAATAATGTTTTTACATTGTTATAGGTTTATATGTAGCAATTTTTTAATGTGGCTATATGTCTTTGCATAGCTATAGATTTTTACATAGCAGTAGGTTTTTACGTCAGTGTAGTTTTTTAAGTATAGGTTTGTTTGTTTGTACGTGTCTTTCACCTCTTGCGAACAGGTTGGAGAAGTCAGTCTCAGTGTGGCGGAAGCCCGTCTCCCGGTCACTGTTGTCACAGGACAGTAGATTCTTCTGGCCTGTGAGCCTGCCCTTCTCCTCCATGCTGTTGTTCTTCTGCAGGAACCCTAGGGTGTTACACGGTAGAGGGCAGCAGTTATCACCAAACACGTCCATCCCAGGCACGTAAAAAGACTTAAATTATGAGACCAAAAAAATAAAAAATAAATGATATTATAACTAAATAATAAATGTCCAAATATTCTGTATTATTTATACAAAATGTAGGTGATGGGGTCGCTATTGAAATTATGTCTGTGTTCTAAAGTCAGCTCCTACTGCACTTATGCATTCATCAGAAATGCTTTTCCAGTCGAGGCCAAACTTATTTATAGGCCACATGTACACACACACACACACACACACACACACACACACATTCAAGCAATAGGCACCACGTGTTAGGGGTGGCCGCCCCACCCTGTGTGACATCACGACCACTCCCCGGGTCAGGAAGCACCCACCCATCCACCCAGCTCCTCCTGTCCTCAGACTGAGCGGCTCAGTGCGCAGGACAGCCCGCGGAGATGATCCATGCAGCCAGTAAACACACAGCCCATAAAGAGGGGTTAATGAAGGATGTACAGAGCCCCGGAGCAGTCTGAGGCCTGTCTGTGATCCGTGTGTGTTCGCAACTCCGTGATCGATCAGATTTCTGCATATACAGGCCCCTCTCTCTATCTGCAGCATAATGACTGTGGGCCTAATTGCGCGCAAAAATGTGGCAAAGCCCCATGCACGCTGTAAAATAATAATAGTCTCCTGTTTCCTTCACTGAAAACTCGAGGATATCTTGCTCGTTAAATTCTAAATGACACCTTCAGAGATCAATAGACATGTATGAGACCCTCATATAGAAACAGTATAGTAATATTTCCATTTCATGTCCTTACAGAACCAATCAAAATCTAATGATCAGTTTCCCAATCTCAGAAATATGAAACATATTCGATAATATGTGAAAATTGATCACATCTACGGCATTCATCTTCAATATGTGCAAGAAAAAACTAAATTCATTCAGAATTTTAGGTCGGTTAAAAGCAGTGAAGGATCTAGCGTTTTTTCTAAGGGGGCATCAAGGGGCCACAATTTACACATAGGGGCCAATTATATGTCCAACATCCATGAACAACTCCTGATTCAGTAAGGTTCATTAAGTCAGTCCTTGTTTTCTGTTTTCTGTTTGCTCTATTGCTTTAATTCAAAGCCACACATGATTGGATTAACTTTAAAAAATCCTTGATCACTCAAAAATTCTTAACAAGTGACGTATTTTTCTAAATATTTAAAAACACTGCTCCTGCTAAAAAGAACCTAATTGCTTTAGACGATGGAGGATAAACACACCTTCCCTGCAACGTCACATCCGCTGCTCTCCACTGTGATATGTAACTGTCATCTGAAGATATGTCGCCAAAGAGGTGAATGGAAAATGGAAACGCTCCTTCATTTACTATCTAACTTAATAGATGCTCTGGACTGCATAACCCATATTCCCAGGCTTGTCTCCTGAATTTTTTTCTCCCACTGATGAAAATGAAAAAGACATGGGGTTCAGGGGGGTCGGGGGATCTGATCATCATCAGACCTACAGGCTAATGTCCACTGACCTTTACAGGATGGAAACGCACAGTGACAGTCATGGATGGCCCTGCTCTAAGCAGCCTTTACCATGGCCTATAATTCAGAAGGCCTCAAAATATAAACACTGAAAATAGATAAATCAACATTTCCACTTCAGAAGTGCTTTCATTATTTGTCAATGTTATGTTGTTATCTTTAGGGTGTCTTTCATTCTTCTTCATCTCATATTTTAAGTCGTTGGTGTCTCTGAGTTTCAATGAAAATCGTTATACAGATGAAATGCATAATTATAATAAATAGAAAAGAATAACCATGAAGAAGAATTTAAAATGACTACATATGCCAAAAGAAAAACAGATTCTTCTCCGGCACTTTTCTTCCGGGATCTCAAAAACAGTAAAATACAGCACAAACATTAAGTTGCGTGAAGCGGGTCTTGCAGGGCCCCTGCGTAAAAAACTTACCACAGATCTTCATCCCCAGTTTCCGTGTGCATCCGTGCATCCACGCATATTCGTTAGCTAAAACAGAATGAACCTTTTCAGTTTCATCATGTGCAGGCCGCTGGGATTACACGTGGACACCATGATGGATAAAGCCATATAAAGCAGCACATGTGGGCACAGTGAAGGCGTGATGCGCACGGCTCTTGGCCAGGTGTGTGACGCATGAACACTGAGGTCGTTTGCCGTGATTTCTTTTTTACCCATACACCTTTTTTATTTACCACTGATCATAAGGGGATGAGTCTGATAACATTTCCGATTTAGGTTCAATCAATAGGGACCGGCAGTGGCTCACACACCCAGCCAAGGGGCGGAGTGGAATTAACACCCGTGAAATGAGCTCACGGAGGAGGGCAGGAATTAATTGAGTGAAACACGGTGTGTGACTGGAGCGAGCTGGTAATGTCTGTGGCCGGGGAAGTATATAGCAGGCTCGATGCAGAAACTTACTGTATAGTGGTCACATACACACACCACACAGAGCCGAGCGTGGACATGCGTGAGATGGAGCAGAAGAAGCCAGAAGGAATAAAATGCAGAGCGCACGCCGGAGGCGGCGGCACAGAGTGCACCTGATGGAAAACTTTCAAAACAAAACCAAGGAGCCTATTTAAATTTACTGAAGCAATTTCACCCTGAGAGAGAGAGAGAATGGGGGAGAAAAACAGCTCGAAGTGCTGAGGCCAATGCATACACGCAGACAGACACGCACACGCACAGACACTGGAAGCCGCGCCAGGCATGAGATGGAGCGTGGCGGAGAGATAATGGCAACATCCAGCAGCAGCAGCAGCTACATGAGCAAGTCAGACAAAAACAAACATCTTCTTCTTTTAATGGGCCTTTTTCACATTTCAAATAACTCTGATACTTTAGAGACATTTATTAGCGCCCAAGGGCCACAAATAAATACAGGCTTAAAAATATACTCAGTTTAACGAGGGGAAATTCATGAAATTAAAAGTGAACTTTGGCCCCTCAGGAAATACAGCTCATTTCCTTTATAACGTTTGGCTGAAGACAAAAAAAGCCTGTAATTGTTTCTGTGCGTTGCACTGCAGATGGATGCTCAAGTGCACCATAATGGAGACGATTTTGCGAACGCGACAAAGGCTTAAAATGATGAATTAACCCATGGGTTAATGTTCCTATAAATAGACTCAGGCACGTTTTTTAAAAAGAAATGAGCTGCATAGAATTCTACAACACTAATCAATAAAATCCGAGGGTCTGAAGGCCTTAAACATCCAGAGATAAGGCGAATGATGACAAACATAAATCATCAGAGAATAAAACCGGCAGGATTTTAGAGCTTTGACGAAATCTTTCGAAAAATGCAACAGAAAATCCCAAGGGCAAGAAAATAGGGCAAGACATTCACTTATGAAAGAAATGTGTTTTCGTGAACGGCATTTAGTCTGTATCATTATCACCAACACGCCCTTGGATCATTATAAATATCTTTGCCTTAAGTGCGCGTAAATTCTGCGCCGGGTCCACAGCCTGGTGCGCACCGCTGATCCTCCAGACAGCGACAGGCAGCTGTGATGGCTCTGTTTTTAACCGCAATGATTAACGACGGAGCCGGCACAGCAAATGGCCCGGGAGAGAGTCGCTTTTATCACACAGAGAAGGAGGGGAGAGGGAGACAGAGAGGCAGCCACAGGCGGAGATGTGTGTTGTTGGCAATAGCACTGCAAGAGTGTCTCTGAGCAAGGCACCACGTCTCTGTCCGCTCCAGTAAGCTGTTTACGCACAGCCATGAGCGCTTATAACGGGAATCTACACCCCCAGGGGTGGAAGCAGGATCATCAGACGAGGGAGGAGAGGGGCCCTTACTTGTGGACGGAGGTCTTAAATTGGCGGAGTTGGGGTCCGGGTCCCCGCCGGTGGCTCTCGGTTCAGACGTGGCCATCAGTCCTCTGTTATCTGATCTCCAGCTGGGGGATAATTCAACTGCAAATAAAACGGTCCAAGGTTAGGGCTGACCAGATCGCCTTATCCTATGAATATATAGGTATGGCCTATATATATATATATATATATATATGAGTTATTACAATGAGTTTGATTGGTAGAGGAGGGTGAATGATCAGAAAATGATGTGTGCGTCCACAGGATCGAGTTATTCCTGAGGGATGGCTGGGTGGGCTGTGATTCAAAGAGCGCAATGTGGAGTGGATTGCGCACGACGCACAAGCAGAACGCCCTAGATAAATACTTATGGTGAAAACATAATGCCTATATGGGTGTGTTACTTTTAGAAACAGCAATCCATAATTCTCACACCAAATGCTCATGATAATGTCCAAAACCAAAATAAATGAAAAAGTTACCAGGGATCTGAATATGGAAGAAATAGAGGCGGTATTTTCTAAGTGGCTCCTTGCAGAAAAATACATTTATTATATTTATGATTTTTGTAATCAGACACATCTGAGCTTATCTGTCATGAACACACACAGATAACAGCTGATATTTGTTTCAGGAAAACAATAAGATTAAAACAGATTGACTCCTCTCTGCCTGTTTTGGATGAGATGTCAGTCGAAAATAAATTAAAATAATAAATGTCAGAGAAGCCTGATCACTCCCATTGTAAATAAGATTGATTTATTAAACAATTATTGATGATATTTAACCATAATGTCCACAAAAATAACCACATGCCATTCACTTGTATTGACTCGGCAATCGACATTTCAATTAAGCTGCGCTTTGAACAAGCGTCTCCCACACTGTCATCACTCAATGTCACCGCGCAATGAGAGACACTCATCTAGGACTATTTTCTCTCCAAGGACAGTTTTATTTTCTTATTCACATAATTTAATTTCTCTCTGACGTTGTGATCAACACTATTCTGTCTTTATATCAAAACATATGTTATAAGGGCGCAGCTGGAATAGACGGAGGAGGCATCTTACCGGCTCTCGGGCGCACAGGTTGTCGAGTCCAGAGAAACTAGAAGTGGAGATGTTAGAATCGCCACCCAAAGGCGCGACAGAGACACAGTCCAGTGGCGGAGACGGTGGAGTATATAGCAGCGGAGCGCACTAATAAAATCCCATCCAGCGGCGCGCAACTGACCCTTTCTCCCTTAAGAATATATTTTTTTCTTTATTCGTTATTTATATATCTCAGGCTGCGGCTGCCCATTGGTCTCTTCACGCAGGCGTGAGTCACAGCCTTTCCTCCCACTGACGACTAATGAAGCCTCCCTGAGTGCCGCTGACAGCCACAATCCACTTTAAGGAGCCTAAAAAGCCAAAAGGAAAAACACCAGTGACGTATGCTCACCCCTCTGAGCGCGTGTGTGTGTCTGCAGGTGTGGGTGGGTGTCACAGGATGGAGGATGGAGACTTGCATGGGAAATGTGCACATAGAAATTGACCTTGGGATGTCAAACACACTTGGTTTATGGTGATTCAGTAACAACAGATACAGATATTAATGTCACATCTTTACATCTCTTTGTTCCTGTGATTGAGTGAGTTGAAATGAACCTGTGGAGGCTCCGCGAGGTGTTTCATGACATCTATTTAACCGGGTGAGTCAACCCAGAATAAAGACATTTCTTATAAAAGGCAGCGAGGGATGGAGAGAGCAGCGCCCATGATTCATCCATCCCTCCATCCACACCAGCTCCGACTGTTGTATTCACCTTCATGAGATGACAACATTGCATGCATCATCATTTTTGACCTGCACCTTTTTTTTTTATAACCTTGACATGGACAATAACACCGGGGACATCAAAGTGAGTGTAGCCTGGCGGGCGTTGACTTAGTGTCCTCACTGTCATCCCCGTGCCTGCATGTCCACTGAATGGACCATGAAGGAACCGGCCATTATGCCCATTCAGCCACTGCATTATTATCAAGCCTGTATGTGATGATACATACTGTCTCCCAAGTCATGCGTGTAGAGATGATTCATAAAGAGAAGCAGGACCATGTGATGATAACTCAAAATATCATACAGGATTCTATAATGGCCTCCGCTGATAGTAGTTAACAAGTAGATCTGTTCATTAAAGACTCATCAAGACAACAAAACATAGTTTCCTCTGCATTTGAAATAAAAAACTTTGAGCAGATTAAAAAGTTTGACGCCCACACACAATCCCACATGGACTTGCATCATTGAGGCAGGACTAATTTTCCACTCAGGTGCCACTGAACCCCATTACAGAGAGAGAAATGAGAGGAGAGCACGCAGTCAAATCTCAAACATGACTGGGAAACCATAGGAGCCATGGTGGAGATATGGTTTGTGGTCATGTATGTGAGGAACACTGCAGTCTACTTATTGCTGTACACGTATCTGATGGTTTTCTCTTCCATGGACATTTAAGAAGTCACACACTTTTATTTTCATCTATTTCAGTTGCATTTTGTCGCATTAAGTTTATCTTTGTCCACCTCAGCAAAGCAGAGCGATTTGTCAACCTTTTACGCTAATGCACAAATGGAAAATGCTTATATGTGTATACAAATGCACAAAGCTCAAGGAGAACATACATTTGTCTTTTAAACCTGTTGGTCAGATTTCGTGTCCTCACAAGTGCTTAATGTTTGACTGGGCTGAGAACTGAGCTCAGGCTAAAACCAATGTTAAAATCCAGTATTTTCACAAAACAAATATTCTCATCAACATTTTTTTAATCAATTTAAAAATGAATTATGGTAATGTTCACTAACTACTCAACGTGGATTTGAAGTAATATCCTCTAAAAAGAGTTGGTTCAAATGTAAGTGAGCAGTAGATGCAGCTCCAATTTCACCATTTTACTCCCTTTAATTACATCACTTTTAATTTGTATGCTGATTTCATCTAAGCTTTAATCTAATTTTCTGGCCATTTTTCAAAAAGACATACAGTCAGTAAACTGACGTCACTATCACAGTAGACAAACTGACCAACAGGTTACAAATCCAAAGACGTCTGGACTTCCAGGTAAAGCACAAATGCTAAATAAATGATGCTCAATTAGTTTGTGTCTCAGTTAGATAATTTATCAAGCCTGAGTCCACAACACGGCTTGGAGCTGGAAAACACACATGCAACACAGTCATTCTTAATGTTATGTCAGTTAGCTCCAGGTTTTCCTCTCACTGCTTCTCGCTCACAGAAGGTATTTGGACACACCAAGATTCTTGTCCAGAAATATTATCGCCAGTCAGCTTTGAAATCATTGTCTAGCAAGGTGTTGTGAATACAGATGGTTTTCTATAAACACAGTATAATGACCGTCTAACAACAGGAATACTAATTTGCATTTGACACAGTGTGGGGTCTGGACCCTAAACAACATTTCAAGACAAATCTGAGGGGTCATCTTGAAAATACCTGCAAAACCCAGATCAAGATAAACCAACAAACAGTCAGTCAATCAATCAGAAGTTTAATAACTTTGTTTCCTCAAGTGCATCCGCTTTATCCACAGTTTATATTTTATTCACAGGTCAATTATGAAAAATGACCAAAATGAATAAAGACTTATGACCAAAGTTACTCAAGATTCAAAAGTGGAATATGTTTGTTTCAAAAGATGCAACTAGAAAAATAGAAGACATTATTCCAATAGATTCTGTTCATTTATGTCTTCTTTATCGTCATCATCAGTAGGGGACGAAGAGGAGCTGGAGCTCTGAGAAGACTCCTCATCATTTCCAGAGTCTTCATCATCATCGCTTATGTCATCTTCTTCCTCATCTTCCTCATTGCTCTCCTCTGTCTCTTGCTCTAAGGCGAAGAGACATGACAAAAACTGATGGTGTGTTTTGGAAAATGCTGCCTCTGTGTTTGTGTTTATATGGAGGAGGAGGAAACTCACCCTCCTGCAGCTTCTGCTTGATCAGCGAGAGAAACACAGAGGCCTGAGGATGGTCTGGTTCATAGGTGAGAACTGGAATGAGGAGAGAAGAGTCATCATCACCGGCTGACTTCTCCGGGTGCTGATGTATTGACTGTACAGCTGGATGGATACATACTGAACTGACACAGGCTATAGGCGAGCCGGAAGTTTCTGTCCACTAGAGCTCTGAGGAACTGAAACCAAAATATCCTCATCTGATTTGAAGTTTAATTTCACATTCAAATTGACAACAAGTAAACCTGAAACCTCTCAACAGAGCATAGAGTGTGTAATCACCGATCGACACTCTCTTTACCTTCCTCATCAGCGTGGAGGGAGCCGCACGATCTTCATCCTGAGCGTCCTCTTCCTGAGCGTCCTCTTCCTCTCTCTGTCCTTCCCCCTCATTCACCTCATGTGTATGGAGAGGTTCAGCCAGCGGAGGAGTATGAGTCCTCCCTCCTGGCAACCATTAATTATCATCATCACCATTGTTTTCTTGCTCCATTTCTTTCTTTGCAATTCTACAACAACCTACCGGTTTCTCCTGGACCCGGTGACTGTGTGTTCCTGCAGTCTTTCATTTCCAGCTCTTCTTCTTCAGGCCTTGATGCGGCCTGTTCTTCAACCCTGAAATCATGTTAGAAATTTAAAACTGGATATGTATGTTTCATTGGTCTCATCAACCTCTGTGTGATGTTATCTCTGAGCACAGACCTCGGTGTTATGTTGATGGATTCCCTCTGAACACAATCTACAAGAAAGAATAGAGAGAACCACAGACACACTATATTTTTCCTTTTGGCACAACAGATATAAATATTTAATATTAATATCAGAGGAGAGAAAGCTGAAACTGTCTGGAGCTATGATGCTATAAACAAAACATTAAACTTACTGATAAAGGAAAATAACACAGATAGCAAAGAGTGTGTAGGGATTCTAAAACAACACGAATGCAGGCCCAGAGCAAATGTAAATGAAATCGAATGGTGACATGATTAAAGGTCAAAATTAGCTATAAAGTAAAACATTTATTTGTTTGTTGTTGTACTCAACCTGTCTCTTCTACCTTTGAATGACTTTGTCTGTGACTTACCAATTTCGCAGAATTGCAATGACAATAAAAGTGATTTTTTTTATATTCAATAAAGAACATATCCCACTCTTCGGTATTTCCAATGGTTGCATTGCATTCTGTTATTTTGAGGCTGCTTTTGGTGGAGAAAAATTAGCATCTGTCTGTCCAGAAATAGATTTCTCCCTCTAAAATTGTTGAACATTATGCAAAATAGTACTGATTAGATTCATTGTTCCTTGTTCTCAGAGAGTCCACCATCTCATACCTCCCGTGTTCTGCACATCCTCACTTGCAGATCCAGTGACTGTCCTTTTCTTCATTGTCTCTGAAACTTTATAATACAATTATGAGCTTTTCAACTGAAATCATCATTCATCATTACCCCCCGCCAAGAAGGTAAGGTTTTTTTTGACATTCTCACTGGTTTCCCAGGGACTACGTGGATCAGGCACATTAAGAGGACTGATGTCTATGAGTGTGTGCAGCAGTGGTGCGGCTTAATTTAATTTTAGTGGACTTTTGGGCCCTGGTGGAAGTATGCGCTCTACTCCATTAAAATGGACATGAATCTGGGTGTGATGTTCAGTGCACTGATTTGCAGAGTGAATTTCTTCTTAACATGTGAGCAGAGCTGATTTCTACTGATGGTTACATCCAGGTGGAGAGTTTCAAACAAATAAATACAAAAATAATCAAGATAAAAAACTTAAAATATTCATGAAGCAGTGAGTATACAAAATAAAAGCACATCTCAACAGTGACTATGAAAAATATAAATTATAAGTAAAACCAGCACAGTGTTGATAGTGTTGTGATAAATTACATTTCACTAATTCTATTCAGTCATTACCTGTTTCTGTGAACTGGTGGATGATTTTCCCAAACACTCAAACCCCTTGAAATGAAATTCCAGCAGAGAAAGCATTAAACACATCCTCATTGCATCTGAGTCTTATCATAAAACCCCTGGTATTTTTATAGCGATTATATTGCTATTGAGTTTGTCTGTGACACTGTGAATATTCTGAATTTATTATCCTATTAAGTCCAAATAGGGACTTGAGGTGATCTGATAACTGTACAGTTCATTTGATAAAGCCATTCATAGAATACACTGATCAAATCCTTTTTCAAATAACTTCATATCATATTCATATTATCTTTGGGTTCATTAGAAAATATTTAATCTGCAGTAATGCCTAGTGAAACAACGGCCATGACCAGTGGAGATTTTCAGATCTTCAGAGACATCACAGCGTGGAAATACTGTCTTTACTAATGTTAAAGTATGATGAAGTATTAGCATCAAAATAATAGTAAAGAAACTTAGTAGTAGAGTATATTATTGACTTATTGATGCAGGTATGTTTAAGCTTCACTAATTTTGTAAGATGGGCGACATTTTAATAAACTGAAATAGTGCAGGGTAGATTCATCTGACGTTATAGCGACATGATCATTTGAATTTAATTAATGAACCAGAAACTACTGAAAAGCTGTCAAATGAATGTAGTGACTGTAGTAAAATGATGCAGTATATGGCTCTATGTATCAGAATACAAGGAAATCGGCAGTACAAGTACATCCAACTGTATTTAAATAATACACGACTCACCTGCTCTTGGAGGAATTGAAATAATTTACAACCTGTAATCTTGTATTTTGAATTCTGAGAGTTTCTTGTGATGTTAGCTGAAGTTTTCTGGTCTTAGTTAACGGTTAATAGTTAGCTAACGGTTAATAGTTAGCTAACGGTTAATAGTTAGCTAACGGCTAACACACGTCAACGCAGCGAGAAAAGGCTCCAGCGTCACCATAGCAACGACGCAACTCCGAGTTCATGCTGCCTTCATGGACAGCCGGTTATTTAGAATTTTAAAAACAGTAACTAGGTCAGAGTATTTTTCTCGTGTAGGTCAACACATGCATTTTGGTTTGATAGTCACAAATGGACGAGATTCCTTAACATTTGGTCTGATTTTGAAAATATATATATATATAAAGATATAAGATTCCTTAAACACAATCATGAATTAAAGTCTTACTTATAATCTTTAAAGTTAAAGGAATAAAAGCACAAAGATTGAGTGACAGTTAATATATATTTTCCCTATTGTTATTATTATGATTATTATCATTATTATTATGCTGTTCCCTTTGTCAGCCACTTTGTACTAAAAGCAAATGATGCCATGTTTATTTTCGTATGCACAATTTTTGAAAAAGTAACTTGGTCAGAAACAGTCTGAACTTTGTCCAGTGACCTTTAGGGAGCAGAAAATATAATTATGTGTTTCTGATTATTTAACCTTTTATATTTTAGTATTTATTTTATTGTTATCACATGCTAATATCAATATTCTCCTCTCTCCTTCCTCCTTATCTTCCCCAGGCCCCTCTTACACATAGCCTTGCTTTTCCTGTCCACCCACCATGTCAGCCATATTTTATCTAATAAGTAGCTATAATTAATACATTAGCTGTGCACACACTGAGCTGCCCTCAGTCCTGAATCTGTGTGTGTGAGATGATGTGAGGATTGTGTGTATGTGTGAAGTTAATAGGTTCATGACTCTTCAGCATTTGACTGCATTGTCTCACGGTTGTCTTCAAACCTCAGGAAGATACAAACTGTCGAGTGGACTGACAGGCCAGAGACTTAGAGGCTAAATTAGAACTTGACTGGCAGGCTCGTTCATTTTCTGCCACAGTTTGAAGCACTTGTTAGAGAAAGGTGAGCTTAGTTTGGACTGTCACATCCCTCACCCCCTACTCTCTCTCTCTCTCTCACCCACACACACAGAAACACGCGTCAATTAGGCAGTGCAATGAAGTTGCTCGGACTGAGCGCTCCATCGGGAACCCTCCTCTCATGCACAACCAAGATCCCACTGAACCGTATGCATGTGTTTTTTAGTGAGTGGGCATGTGTGCATTTAAACTGAGTTTAAAGAGTGGAAAAGTGGAAAAGAGGCCATTAATCTCATTTAGAGAAAACTTTTACTTTTCACTGCACCAGCAGAAGAGATATGTGTTGATTTATAATTTATTATGTGCAAAACACTTGAGCTTATGAACTTGTCATTTGCAAAAATCGTGTTTCCTGAATAAAATCATGAATTTTGGATATGACTGACTTTTGCATATCTAGGTCATGTTGTCCCCAAACAGTTTCGGCTTAAATGCTTTGAAAAGAGGACGTCAACCTGCCAACCCATTTTGTGTGTGATATTTCTTTTCCCATTTAGCCTAACCTGAGTTATTTCACTAGACATAATTTCAACCCACGTGTCAATTTAAATTATTACTGTTAATTAGAAGTTTAAGAGTCAGAAACTAAAACCGGTTGTTCTTCATCAGGACTGTGGTTTGATCATATTTGACTTTCAACCCTAAACAGACAATCTAGCAACTGTCTTCATAGGTTTGTGAGGAAGCTGCACTCCCTCCCTCACCAGTCAGGTCAGCTCTTTGTTTATTCATTCTTTTTGGTTTCTGTTAAAAATATTTGTTTTCTCTGTTTGTGTTGTCAGCTACATTAGGATCCTCTTCAGTTGATAAATGCATTTGTTTAAATTAATATATCTTCATTCAAATATTTGATTCATTATTGCTTGTTTGCCTTGATTTCTAATCTTTGTTTTCTTTGAGGTCTACTTCCTGGTTGAGGTTGATGCTCCTGAACGTGTGCACATGAACGCCACATCTCCACCAGGTGGTTTCAATGTGGACTAAACCATGTAGGAATGAGGAATGGGGGGAGGGAGCAATTGGCTTTCTTTTGTATTTTCTTTTTTCTCCTAGCCTTTAGTAATATTAACTTAGCCTTAATTATTTGTTGTAGAGTTATTGTACTGTTTAATGTATTAAGTTAAATAAACTTTATTAATGTTCTTGTTTGCTTTAATTGTTTTTATTTTACCTTTTCTATTTAAAGGATGGTTTTACCCAAAACATATTTAAAGCAATTGATTGAGGCCTTCAGCATTTTGTCTTTGGGCTGGGGAAATGTATGTTTGTGAGTTTTTGTGTATTGCTGCCATGTATCTTTATCTTGTGAGAAAGTAAAGTCAGAGTTCCTGGACTTCGGGTCTCATTGTCGCACTTCCATTCCCCCAGACTGACTGCTCACATCCTGGGTTGACACATCTATCCCTCACAAGGTTGATGACTTTTGTTACACAAATGTGACATCACTTAGCCCCTCACACTTCAAACCAATGAGAGCATATACCCAACAAAAAACTGAAAAATGTCATGTTTCATCTTCTTCCATTGTTGGTAAAAAATCTTGTGTCCGTGTACCAACTGTGAAAGGAGAACCTCAAGAGAACAGTCAAATAGACTTTGAAAAATCCACCTAGAGTTCATCAATATTAAAAATGTACTCCTGCTTCTCTATTCTCCATCATTCTAACATTATCTGAATCCTCTTTTCTGACACTATCACTCATTTAAGATCTGTTTTTTTAGCAATTTAGTGTCTTCTTATCAAATGTCAAAGAGCAAGGTCGAGCGTGAGCTACAAACTGCTCTGACACTCTTTCTTTGTTTTGATGGAGAACTCCCACCATTCTGCCAAACAACAGACAGCCGGAGAGGGACACACACACACACAAACACACACACACACAGCAGCAGCCCATCAGGCACATGCAGGCGCACCTGTCATAGAAGGTTGATGGGAAAATATATTCCACACAGACGACATGATAGCAGAGGCATTTCACACTTCACTGATCCATTCACTTTGTGTGCACGAATGAGCGTGTCTGTGTCTCTGTGTGTGTGTGTGTGTGTGTGTGTCTGTGTGTGTGAGAATATCTAAAACATGCAACTCTTTCAGGGTGCTGGTTGGTTGTATGTATGCTATGTGTCTTGTCAGCCTATACGCTTCTCACAAATTTCTATATGATGAGCCCTGAGGCCATCTTGACAGCGAATGAGAACGCACACCGAGAAAAGGGACGACATTCACATCACAGGACATCACAATGCATAATGTGAGCTATGTATTACTACGATAGAGAACCAGTGAACATACTGTCCCCGCTGTACCGTCATTAACAAGGATCAGCAATAACAAAATGAAGCAACATCACGCTGTCATAATGAGGCGATATTGAGGTGCATGGATGTGGGTTTGTATGTATGTGTGGCCCATGTTACTGTGTCCTCGGGCACACATGTTTATGAAGCATCTGTGCAGGTCTATCAGTGTGATGTGGTGTATGACGATCCATCCTCACGCCTCACAGCCTCTGGCAGGCTGAAGGCTAATAATAAATGCAAATTACAATCAGAGGAGCAGATCGGAGCTGGAGAGGATAATTGCTCCATTATGGCTCTGTGTGTTTGTGTGTGTGCCCGTGTGTGTGGATGGAAGTGTGTATAACAGAGAGAGAGAGGTAGAGGGTTGTAGCCAAACGCTGGGTGATGATGTCACAAACAGGCCGGATAACGGGACAGTGGAGGTGTGAGGATGGGGTGTTAAAAGTATTGATTAATTTGCTGGGCAAAATTCCACTTTTCCATTCTGAGGGTCAAGTAAAGCTAATTAAATGTGTGTGATGTAACTGTGAGTCACAAATCAAAACAAAGACTAAAGAACTAGAGCACACGCTGCTCCAGTCACTGTTGGAAATACAGACTGAGTGAACACTGTGTGAATTCTATGTCATTTACAGAAAGTGTTATTGTTAGTAAGATTCTATAATGTTCCATTTAATTTAATCTATAAGGATACTCATTACCTTTATAGAGCAAGCATCATGTAGTGGCCTATGTTGTTGTTTCAACCAACCATGACAGCATATTACAAAACCAGACATATTGAAAAAAAGGAGAAATAACTCAAGAAAATATCTTAAAAACACAGTTATATACCATTGCAGGTTTTTATTCCAAACAGCTTAAAGGTTCAGTGTGTAGATTTTAGTAACATATAGTTTTGTGGACTCAAATACTTCCGACCCCACCATCAGCATAGTGGTGAGTAGGTGAGTGAATTTTAATTTTTCAGTGAACTATCACTTAAATGAACTGGTTATGGCTTGTTTGTTTGAACCTGTGGCTTCATATTTACAATACAGACATGAGTTTGGATGTTCTGATTGAACTGTACTATGGGGACAGAGTATATTCTTGTATGATCTTGATTTAACATTCAATTTTCTATTATATATATGTAAAATATCATAATGAGGGAAGCTATTGAGTGAGTCGAAAATAAATGACTTGCACAACAATTACATGTCTTTGTAAATGCACTTGTTTGGAAGTTTAGCAATATAGATTTATACTCCCACAAGCATAATCCTGCTAATCCAAAATAAAAACATGCATTTGTAGAAATATCCAGGAAACCTACCATGAACAAACAAAAAGAAACCATTATATTTCATCTAGGCTATGAGGAAATCATGGAACTGTTAATCCAACAAACATTTTATCGACATTGACCATAGACTGTTTCTGTTTCTGCGGCAAACTGCAGCAAAAGTCCTATAAAGAGTCAGATCACTTCACCCAGATCACACACTCGCATTTCTTCTCATTTCTTCATTTCCTCCCATTAAGCATAAAGGAAATGCTCTTACCTTCTCTCTCTTCTTTACTTCCATAATTTTTACTTTGCAAATTTAGTGTGTGGACACACACTCATACAAACTCACACACACATACACGTGAATACAAATGCAGTGACACATTGGTTTATCGTATTTGATCTATTCAATCTTTCTCTTGTTTGTGTCTTCATGACATGAGCCAAAGGGTTTTACTGTTAATATTTAAAT